CTTTTTTAACCGCTTATAGTAATTTTGTAGTTCAAGACAACTATTTCACCTAAAATTTTTTAAAATTACCTGTGATGTCCTCAAAGTTTTGCACTGTAGAATGCACACTATTTTCTACCTATTTCTCTCTCTTTCTCCCTCCCTCCGTCTCCTCTCTCTCTCTCTCTCTCTCTACATATATATATATATATATATATATATATATATATATATATATATCGATGGAGCGGCTAGGGGATAATTGTCCTGGCTCCTTGAAGCACAGTCCTATATGGATAAAAGAGAAACTCGGATGAGTTCCACGACCGAATATGTGATCGAGCGGCGCTATATCGAGTCTGATTCGCTACCTCTTTGTCACCGAGGCTCGTTGGAACTGTTGCTATGACTTTTGCCTTATAACGTAGGTTTCATTCCCGGCAGTGGATGCGCTCTGCTGATGAGTCCCAAATATAGGACGAAACGGCCGTACAGTGCTTTCTACATTCTGTTGAGGTTTCTTTTAGTCCCTGATGAATTACTTAATTATAATTATCTCAAATCCTCCTAATTTCTAGCACTTGTTATCCTTGCTTAAACCGGCTTCTAATGCTCTGGATGGAGCGATTTGGTAGTCGTGGCTCGTGGGGGCACACTCCAATTCTCTTTATTGTTTTCATTTTCGACGAGAGTACTACAAACACCGTCTACTTTTATAAACATGATAGAACAAAAGTTTGAGGTGTCGCAAGGCGACTGAAGAATTTAACAATCATAGACTGCATGTGTTCCACGGTGGATTAAGATAATATCAATTCACCATTAAACGTTAGCAGGAAAACTTGTTTTCTTTGTTTTTACGGACAACTGTTATTGGGAAATCAATTCACAAGTCCACCGACGCACAAACAACAACCATAATGTATTGCAAATATTAATATCTGGTAAATAGATCGTCACGTGGTGGTGTTGGCGAGATTATACCCGAAAGAGTTTGCCTTGTTTTCGTAATCGGAAATTTAATTAAGATTTTTACATTAGAAATAAGAAATGAACCGTTTTCCTACTGAAGCAATCTTGTTGTATTTTCAATCAAAGTCTGAAACGTTGACAGAACAAAGTTAAATAATAAGTGAGAGGACGAAGTGAAAATAAGAAGAAAATATAAATCAGGAAAAAATGATAAGGTGATAGAGAATGCGTGTCCGTGTGAGTGGTAGCGAGAGGGAACGAAAGAAAAAAACAGAAAGAAAAAAGATACATTAAAATCAAAGAAAATCAAATGAAGCGTGAGTGTCTCTGAGAGTGGGAAGAAGAGAAAAGAAGTAAACGATAAAGTAATAGTAAATGACATAAAAAAAAAACAGATGAAGTATCAAAGAGTAGGTTGCGTGTATGTGAGGGGGAGAGTAGGAGAAAGAAAAGGAAAAATGACGGTAAAAAGAGAAGAAAAACAGATGAATTGATAGGGAGTGCATGAAAGATAGGGAGTGAGAGTGAAAGAAAGAAAAAACTGTCAGTAAAAGGCGAGAAAAACAAATGAAGTGATAGAGAATGCGTATCTGTTTTAGAGAGGGAGAGGAATTGAGAGTAAGTGACACATGACTATGTATAATTGTGCAAATCGATCTTCGAAGGAAAGGATATAACCAATATATGAAGTTAGTAAGTATATGTTATATACACACGTGAGCTCACAGTTTGGAAATCTTATGCAAGTATAAATTGATCTATGAATAAGCAAATTCATCGTTAGTTTTTATATATGGCTGCTGTTAGCAAGTAAATCCCTCAAATAATTACTAACGAAGTGGTTTTAATCATGTATCTACGCCATCTTTGTTTTATGCTACAAAAATTCAAATATTTCTAAATATTGGGCTTAGATAAATCAAATATATTTCTTGTTTTTTTTATTCAGGATGAATCAAAACAGTAATATTTAATGAAGAATACTCAATAATGTCTCAGTTTTGGTTAAATGAGTCTGTTAGAATTTCCTCTAATAATTTCGCCCCAGCGTGCCACTAATACGCAGGGAGTTACAGATAGTGACAGGGAGAGAACAGACTGGGCATAGTGGTGGGGGGGTGAGGAGTTCAAGTCAAGAAAAGATGACGTTTGAAGTTGGATTCACACTTTTGAAAATTGTAGTCAAGGAAGCAAGTAAAGTTAAAGTGATTTCCACTGTTGGGAAGTGAGAGAAAAAACTGATGGATTAGAAATGGCGGTAACATTTAAGTATTTCAACACTAAAAGGGTGAAGCATAGATGCGAATCCAGTAGAAGGCTTAAATTAGTGTAGTCGAAATATCAGGGGAAAAAATGCTCGTCAGAGAAGTTACCATGAAAACATTTGTATAAAAGTCAGAAGGAAGCCACATCATGTCTGTGAGAGTGTGAATGAAGTCGAGATGCCAATTCAGGATCGGTGATTAAATTGCAGAACCTTCTTTGTATTGTGTGAAGAACTTTGAGATGAACAGCAGGGGCGGCAGATTAGATATGGCATCAGTATGCACGGACTAATGGTAGATTTGTAAATGTGCAAGATGGACTCTGACGAGAAAAACCTTCTGACACGACACAGTGAACCTTGTTTTCCTTGCAGTAGATGCAGCTATTGATTCAATGTAGTTGTTCCACTTCAAGTGAGTTTAAAATGTGAAGCCAAGAAAGCGCAGTGAGACGCTTTCCAGGAGTCGAGAATCAGCCATGTTTATGGCGGGCAGGGAAGGTTTAGTTGCGTTTTGGAGGTATTAACCATTTCCTGTCCCAGTTAGCCACTGATAAGAAGTCCTTTTCAAGAGCAGCGACCGGGATAACTTTGTTAGCTCTGACGGATTTTCTATTTAGACAGAAGTAAATGGTAACTTCTTTTGCATAAATGCCTACTTGGGGACTGATGACATCAAGAAGATCTTTAATAACGATCAGAAATAACGTAGGACCTAGTATAGAGCTTTGCGGGACAACCGGAGCAACTTGATTCGGGTATAGGTAAATATTGTTCGTTTAGATTTCAGTCTATATGCATTTACTTGGTTCAGTGATAGGTAAGCTTTCGTTTAGTATTGAGTTTATAATTGTTTACTTGGTTCGGCAATACGTAAATGTTTCTTGTTTATCTTTGAATCTATATGTATTTATTTTGTTGGGAATAAGTAAATGTTGTTTGTTTAGTTTTGAGTTTAAAATCATTTACTTGGTTTGAAGAAAAATGTGTAGGCTAGATTTGAGTTTATAAACGTTCAACTGTTTGGGAAATATATAAATTTATAGTTGTTTGTATTTGAGCCGATAAGTATTTTTATGGAAGGAAATAAAAATTTCGTATTAAAAATAAAAATAAACCCATTAATTATTTAAAAATTATTTTGTTTACGCTTCGGATACAGAAATGAGAAGATATGGGCTTTCGAGAATATCTGATCGATGAAGTGTGCTTTCTTTAAGATGATAAAAATAAACTTGCTTCGTTGTGGCGCTCTTTATGGCCACTCGATCTAAAATACACCGGAATTATAAGGCGAGTTTTCCCTTACAAAGGGGAAGTTGATTCGAACCCAGTTAGAGTATATATTTTCTTTATTAAAATTTCTCGAGTTTATAGACCAAGAGTCGTAATACACGCTGTTTAAAATATAAATATAAAGGGACGTCGTTTTCAAACACGTGTATCCACTAATAATAAAGGTTTTGAATGAGTAAATATTTTTTTTGTTTAGGTTTCACTTTATAAATATTTAGTCGTTTCGAAGAAAGGTAAATACTCTTCATTTATATTTGAGAAAGTATTTACTTATCTGGATATAGGTAAAATTCTGACTTCATAAAGGTTGAAGGGTCTTTCTTTAATATCTTTTTAAACAATTGTTTGTCTGAAAACGAATTATTTATTTTTGTATCGATTAACGCTTATCCTATTCTGAAACGACATACGTAAGTGGTTAAATTGCATCCACGTCCTGGGTAAGACGATAAACTACATTCAGTAGCAAGGCCACTGATCAGAAGGTTTGGAGGAGCGTGGATCCACCTCTTAATTGCTGTTAGGTTTCCAGCTATGAGCAAACAGTGACCTATTTCCAGCAATACATTTTTGAAAAAAATTATTACCAGCAATACAATTTTGAATGAAATATTACCAGAAATAAAAATGATGTCGGCATTAAATAACCCATTGAAGTTGCTATGCCGTAAAACAAAATAAACAGAATCAATTTAAACCTAAGAATACATATTCTATTCATACGAATCTATGCTAAAAAATGGTGGGGGCATTAAATAACCCATTGAGGTTGATATGCCGTAAAACAATATAAACCAAACCTATTCTGAAAATCATGTCAGCCAAATTATATCCTCCATGGATCAATCAAGGATTATACATGTAAAAAGGTTCAAGGTTAATTATGGCAGTCCTCATATTACAGTAGACCTGAGGAATGACCAAATATAGTTGGGAAAAACACGAGAAGAATCAAGACACTTAGACTTTAGGAAATGTAGACGAAGTGACATGGTAGTGATTACGAAAATAAAATGAGCGGAATATGAATCCATAATAACATTTCGTAAATAACAAATCATATTAATGCCAATATGAATTGGATAACATTAAAAATGTGGGTAATAAAATTGGATACCATTAAAAATTAGAACTTTCATTCGACAACTACATTCCAAACACCTTCCAACAAAAAAGACGAAGTTTCTACAAAAATGCTGTCAATGAACTTGCAGAATGATAGGAGACAGATGTTGGTGTTTAATTTCCAGGATTTTCAATCCGTCAGATGAACACTTCCGTTTGGATATTATTTTAATGAATTCCAAAAGGCATCAGAAGAAATAAATTAAAAAATAACAGTTTTTCATTAACGATTTTGAAATAACAATAATGATGTGTATAGTGTTTTTACTTTTTATGTATTCTTATGCGTTTATAATGTCATAAACTATTAATCCAAACAAAATATTTGATACTTAACTTTTGTGTTATATTAATATAATTTCAGTACCTGGACCAGTGGGCATGTTTAAGAACACAAGTCGAACTTTCAACTCAATTACATTGCAATGGTCTCCTCCAGACCATCCGAATGGAAATATTTTATTCTATATTGTGAGTATGTTTTTTACTTATTTAACATTAATTTCAATACTTATCGCAATTGACAAACTCTCCAGAACTCATCATATTCTTTGTTTTTGGCGCCTTCAAATTTTCATTTGTTCCGATCACTACAAAACAATTTAAATAAAAAAATTTAAATCAGTACATTCAGTCGAAAACTACCTTCCAACAATATATATATATATATATATATATATATATATATATATATATATATATACAGATATATAGATATACATATATATATATATATACAAATATATAGATATATATATATATATATATATATATATATATATTCATATATATACATATATATATACATATATATATATATATACACATATATAAATATAAATACATACATACATATATATATATATATATATATATATATATAACTTTAGTTGTTAGTTTAGATGTAAGGTTTTGTCTAGAACATTCCGTTTTTGTAAACAATGGTAAAATATATATATATATATATATATATATATATATATATATATATATATATATATATATATATATATATATATACATATATATATATATATATACACACATATATATATATATATATATATATATATATATATATATATATATATATATATATATATATAACTTTAGTTGTTAGTTTAGATGTAAGGTTTTGTCTAGAACGTTCCATTTTGTAAACAATGGTTAATACGTAGACCTGCCAGCGCATACTATACACTTATTAAGCAAAATCATTTCCCTAGCAAGATCAGACTGATGTCTCTTCTTCGAAGGAGGTCACAGGTTCATATCATCCTGATATATATATATATATATATATATATATATATATAAAATTTTCAGATAGCGTATATGTGAAGGAACAAAATGAATAAAAAGACGGGGGAAAAAACTATTCTTCGCCCAAGCGATTCCTCTTCTGAGGGACTATATCAAGGCAAGTATCTTGATAAAGTCTCTCAGGATGAAACCTGTCTGTTAAGGATAGTTCTTCCTGTTTTCCTTTCATATATATATATATATATATATATATATATATATATATATATATATATTAATGCCTTACACATATTTCAAATGTTTTGAATACTGAGGAGGAAGATTGCTTATGACAGTTCTCATGATTACTCGAAGTTGACTTCAAAATTAAAATTGCAAATTCTCTGATGGTGACTTTTACGCACCGTTAAAGGACTAAGACAGCAAGTAGCTATAATGATAGAAAGAAAACAATTTTTATTCATGAAATGAAACAGTTGCATATATATATATATATATATATATATATATATATATGTGTGTGTGTGTGTGTGCATGTGTGTGGAGAGAGAGAGAGCTTGATAGATAGATAGATAGATAGATAGATAGATAGATAGATAGATAGATATGAAGCAAATAGGATAGATTCATTGCCAGACAAATGACGTGTCGTTGGAGAGAAAAAAAGGAGAGTACACGAGAAGAAAAAGAAGTGACGTATGTTTAACCCAATTAAGGTGAAATGAGTGACTTTAATTGAAAAAAGTTGGGTTCAAGAAACTACGCTTATTTAACAACCAGTTCTTCAAAGAGCAAGAACGAATGCACTCAGTGCAAGCAAAAATTAAAAAAAAAAAAAAGAAAGAAAATGTACGCCCGTTAGATGTTAGTTACCAAAAATATAAGAAGAATATTTTTTTTTTAAAATGTGTGAACCACAGAATTACAGGAGGAAAAAAAGGAAAAAAAATCTAAATAATAGAAGAAGAAAGAAACCGAATGAAAATAGAGAACAAGACATAAAGATTATAAATATGGAAGAGATATTCTTGTCATCATTTGCGCTTGGGGAAATCGACCTTAACACAACCATTAATTTGGCTTTTTGATGGGGAGACGCGTTTTTTATTACCCTCACATCAATAGGTTTGTTTGTGTTCATAATTTCATAACAAGTTTAATAAAAAAAGAAGACTTATAATTCATTCCGAAGAGACCATGTTTTCTGCTGGCGAACAGATAATTTATATAAAGAACATCGCTCCAGACAAGTAGTTCTTTCAGAGTTATCTGTAGTTTCTTTTTACAATTTAAAAAATAGTTATTTCTCCAGTAATGCTATCATTGGTATGAATTCATGAGTAAAATCAAGGATTGTACATGTAAAAAGGTTAAAGGTTAATTATGACCGTCCTCTTATTACAGTAGACCTGAGGAATGACCAAATATAGTTGGGAAAAACACGAGAAGAATCAAGACACTTAGACTTCAGGAAATGTAGACGAAGTGACATGGTAGTGATTACGAAAATAAAATGAGCGGAATATGAATCCATAATAACATTTCGTAAATAACAAATCATATTAATGCCAATATGCATTGGATAACATTAAAAATGTGGGTAATAAAATTGGATAACATTAAAAATTAGAACTTTCATTCGACAACTACATTCCAAACACCTTCCAACAAAAAAGACGAAGTTTCTACAAAAATGCTGTCAATGAACTTGCAGAATGATAGGAGGCAGATGTTAAAACAATAGAGAATACGTACTTGTGAGCTTATATATATATATAACTTTAGTTGTTATTTTAGAAGATATTCAATTTTGACTAGAACTTTCTGTTTTTGTAAACAATGATTATTACGTAGACCTGCCAACACATACGAAAAACTATTAAGTCGAGACAATCTGTAATATAATTAGCAACTTGACACAGATATTATTCATATCTTGCGAGCCTGGGTGCTTCATAGAGAACGGTTCAAGCGACTGGTTCATCATTTAAACGTTAAGCAAGACATGAACTGAAGTAGGATGTCAATCCTAAATTTTTCTAGCAATGTTAAATCCATATGGATCACTGTAGCGTAGAATATTAAAAAAATTGTTCTTGAATTTGTTGGCGTGCTAATTATAAGTTAATTTCCAGGGCTGTATAATGAAAACACACACTAGTGGAAACAGGAACAATAAGAATAATAAAATAATCAAATGATGAAATAACCGTTGCTTGTCCCTTTCATGTAATAATTTGCTTTTTACTCAAAGAGGTTATAGTACGAGGCTAAGTCAAAAATTAGCGGTATTTCCGCTGTAGCATATAGCGGAACAAGAATCCGCATAATTACGATTTTCCCTCGTAATTAGCCCGTATATAAGACGAGTATTACTCTACTAACATCAACTCTCGTAATCCAGTGGAAAAAATAATTAAAACGACTGATGAGAGATTCAGACTCTAGCTTTTAATTTAGTGTACTCTTCTGAGACTTGGTGCCCGACGCGAGACAACCTAGTTTGATTTAGTATTTAATCCATAGAGAGAAGCGATGGACCATACATTCTGAAGAGCTCTTTACGCGAAATTGAACGTATAGGAATCGGCTGGAATTCGAACTTTAAATTAGAGAAAGATCTACTGTGTCATGCTCTGTTTCCGTAAATAATATTCATTTAATTGCAGTGACAATGGAAGTATTACTGTAAGAAATAAATATTATTATATGAAATATTTTTAATCACAATTATGCGCCGGAGTTATGTACTTACGTCTGCACTTTTTTTAAATGAAAGTAACGTCTAACGCTGTCTCTCCTAATATCTCTGATTGTTTTTTAAATTATTCTCTTTTATTTGATAATGTCGGAGTTAAATCTAGAAAATAGAGTTGTTGTTAACTTTTTTTATCTTAAAACATTCATTTCTACATTTTTCTTTCATTTTATTTATTTTTTTTTTGACACCCGCAAAAATTAGAAGCCATCTTTTCTCACCGAATCTACATTAACTAGTGTTAAAGGGAGATAATTGATGATTGATGATTTTATTTTTTCTTTGCTCTCCAATCTTCGATTTATTTTGTTTACAGGACTCTGGAGACGAGTTCAAATTTGAATTGATCACCGTTAAAAGTTTAAATCTACATGTTTTTTTTTTTTTGTATTTTTTTTTTATTTCATTCTTTCTTTTTAAATATTTTTTGTCATTAAACCTTTATTTTTTTTTCATATCAGTGACTTTTACGAAAAAAAGAAGTCTCCAAGACAGATATTACATGACAAATAAGAATAATTTAACAATGACGGAATGATCAATAACTAAATATTTCAATACTTTTTAGTGGGTATATTATTTCTTTGAATTGATCAAAAGCTGTTTCCATGAGGTTAAGCCTATATGTGAACTTAGTTCAGTGGCCAATTATAAATTGATTTATATCGAATCTTTCCAACAGTCTCAGCGCTGAAATGTCCTCTGAACGCTAATTATCATCGCGGTACTGATAAGACAATTTAGTGATTTTCTTTATTTGGATCGGAAACATATTAATAGTATAATCAGATGAAGTTGTAGCGACTGCTACGCTTTCCACGCCCATAATTTATTCGTCTGCGATTGGCTAGTAAATAGATACTGCTTTTCCATGAGACAATTTAGCAATCGCAGTCACCATTTTGAATTTTCCTGCCGTGAACTTGTTCACATATGTCTTTTTTACAAAATCAGTGATTGGTCGAATTTTAACCAATTAAACATTTTTGTGCTGAATCTATTTTCCCGTGTTATCGCCTGAAGCCTACCAGCAGATTTATAAACAAGTGGTTTGTTTCCATAACTTTCAGAAAATTCCAGCTATTTACGCCCGTCTACACAAATCCACGACATTACTCGCAACGCACACACAGACACATATTTTTATATCACATTACACATATTCTTCCTCTGTGTGACTCAGCCAAGTTCATGAACCAGCACTCTATATATTTCTCAAAACAACACACTTCTTCATTGACTGTATTCCTTTCTACACCAGATTCTATTCAACATAGAATCCTGAACATTCTTATTCAAGAGAAATTCTTTCGAACATTAAATTTGATTCAGAATACAGTTAAAGGGAAGCAACTTTTTTTTCCTTAATTACTACACAACATTACATGATTGCTTTGTAATTTTTTCAATATATATTTTATTGTTGATGCACAAATGGAGTTTTGTTGTT